GCGAAATGCTCATCTAGACAAGTTGAGATGCATACATATGTACATACATGTTCTGCCCTCCAGGTACAAACTATCGAGGCTCGGCTGGGGGACACTTGTGAAAAAGCATCTATCCAGGATGACGTCTTCAAATTTTGATATTCGAATACGACAGAAACAACAAACAATCAACTGTACATAGTACAATGACATGTAATTATGATGATGATGATGATGATAATGATGATAGACGCAAAACAAGAGTATTTTACACAAGCGCCACAAAACACGCCAAAAAAAATTAGCATAGTAGCATGCTAATTCGCAGTAACAAACAAACAAAACACAGACACACAGCCACGCGTGGGTTATTGTCTTCTTGTTTCTCCTTCTATAACGACGTTTATCCCCGCTAGACTATGCAAGTACACCTTTTCCATCTATCAACACCAACACCAGGATCCAACCCTTTCCCCCCCCCCACCCCACCCCACTTCCTTCCTTTTAATCTCGCGCCCATAAGGGAAAAAAAAGCCATACCCATACATACGAACGCAGACACACAGACACTACTTCACACACACACCCCCACATGTACAGACAGTGTACAAAACAGAAAAACAAAGCGATGGTGTAAAACGACGCGGAATCACACAACAGTACTATACCCCGCGCCATAGCCTCGCCTCGCCTTCCAGCGTAAATACCACTTGCGGCCCTCGTCGGCCCAGAACACACAGCTGGCCACGGCCACGAGATGCGCCAGGTCCTCGAGACCCAGCGCCTCCGTCTGGAAGACGCGCTGCAGCGGGGGAAAGTAGATGACAGCGAGCTGGCCTAGCAGACTGCCCGCGACGGCGTAATTGAACATTTTGTTGTCGACGAGGCCGATTTCGCCCGCGAGCACGGATTTGGTGGACGAGCGGCATGTGAGGGCGTTGAACATGTCGAACAGGACAAAGCAGGTGAATGTCATGGTTGTGTCGCGCGCAGTTACGATGTTGTCGTCGGTCATTTCCAGGTAGTATGTTGTGAGGGTGCCGAGCATGATGATGGTGGCGGATTGGAGCACGCGCTGGATCAGAGGCCGGGTTAGCACGCGGGCTTGACGGGGGCGTGGAGGAAGCGCCATGACGGAGGGGTCGACGGGCTCGACACCAAGGGATTGGGCGGGTGGGCCGTCCATGAGGATGTCTGTGTGTGTTGATTAGTTTAGAAATGAGTAGAATGCGGATGCGTGACTTACTGATCCACAAAATCTGCATGGCATTGAGCGGGTTCTGGAAGCCGAGGAACGTGCTGAGGAGTACCAGGCTCAGTGCTGCCGCGCTGGTGCTCAGTTGGAACGTGAGGAAGTTTTGGATGTTGTAGAAGATGCCCTTTCCTTCCTCGATGGCATTCAGGATCGTGGCAAAGTTGTCGTCGGTCAGAATCATGTCGGCAGCTTCCTTTGCAACGTCTGTACCCAGTCGGCCCATGGAGATGCCTATGTCCGCCTTCTTGAGCGCGGGTGCGTCGTTTACACCATCACCAGTCATGGCGACCACGTCTCCTCGTGACTGTAGGGCGCGAACAATCTTCATCTTGTGATCCGGACTCGTTCGTGCAAAAACTGACGTCGTTGCCATGGCCTGAGCCAGTTGCTCTTCGCTCATCTGGTCCACTTCGTCGCCACAAATGACAGAACGTCCGAGAGCCGAGTTCGCAGTGATTGGCATGCCTAGACTCTTTCCAATGGCGACTGCTGTGGTCTCTGCGTCACCTGTAATCATGATTACCTTGACTTTACCAGCCATCAGCCGGCGAATCGCTCTTTCAACTCCCTTGCGCGGGGGATCATTCATGCCAACAAGCCCAGCAAATGTTAGACCGCGGTACAGTTCATCGTCGCCAAGAGCCGAATTCGCAGGCAAAGCTGGAGAGGCAGAGCCACTGGTAGTCCTCTTTTTCCCTCTAGAAGCACCGCTTGCAAAACCCAGGACTCGCAAGCCCTCCTGAGCCATGGCTTCTGCAGCCTTCATCGCCTCTTGCTTGCATGCTTGGTCCAGAGTCACCTCTTTGCCCTGCGCAGTAACGTATGTGTCGCATCGATCGAGAATCCTTTCCAGTGCGCCCTTGATATAGGCATGGTCGGAGCCGGGAGTGACACTCCCAGAAGCATTGCCGACCACGACGCCCATCCACTTTCTCTCGGAACTGAAGGGTGTTTCGAACTTGCGGTCGCCAATTCTCTCCCGCACGTCTTCTTCTCCAAAAGCATCCATCAAATCAAGAAGTGCTACATCCGTGGGTTGACCTACCCATCGACTCTTGGCCGAGGAGTTGTCGTCTCCCAGAGTTGACGAGAGAACTGCTGCTGTCGACGCTGATGCGGCCTGGTCGCTTAATAAACGGGCATTGTTGACTACATTGCCGATTCGCAAGATAGTACGAGTAGGAGAATCGAGATCTGCAGAGTCGTGCTTCTTCTTCACGTCTACTGGGTCAGATTCGCCAAAATGCCATATTTTCGTAACAGTCATGTGGTTCGTTGTCAGTGTACCTGTATGTGGTCAGTGGTTGCAGGATTCAGGAGAGTGCACAAATTACCCGTCTTGTCAGTACAAACGACATTGACCGAAGCCAAAGTCTCTACACTGGGTAGCCGTCGGACAATTGCGTCGCGCTTGGACATTCTCAATACACCCAACGCAAGCGTAACGGTAACAATGATGGGGAGTCCTTCGGGAATGGCAGCGACTGCAAGCGAAACCGCAATCTGAAAGACCTCGAGAAACTTCCATCCCCTCCATAATCCCACCAAGCCAATGAAAGCAATAACTCCAAACGACATGTAACTCAATTCCTTGCCCAGTCGATCCATGGAAAGTTGCAGAGGCGTTCGCGGGCTCTCGATTTCATGCAGGGAGGCAGAGATAGCACCAAATTCCGTATTACCACCTGTACCAATGACGATTCCTTGTCCGTATCCCGACCTGACCAAAGTGCCCATGAATGCAATGTTCTTCTGGTCGTTGAGCCTAATGTCCGCGCCAACGGTCCCAGCACCTTCGGAGGCGTAGAAGGGCGAGGCCGACCGTTGCACGCCTGAGGGAGGTGTGATCATATCCGCCGATTTGGAGACAGGCTCGTTCTCTCCCGTGAGGTTCGACTCGTCGATGCTCAGGTCGGCAGCGTGCGTGATGCGAATATCGGCTGGTATGCGGTCGCCCGTGTGGAAGAGAACCAAGTCGCCTGGCACCAGCATTGTCGCAGATATCGTCGTAGACTTTCTCTCGGCTGCTGATAGCGAAGCCGTCGTGTCCTTGAGGGTGTCGAGTTCAATGTCCTCGGTTGCTGTGCCATTCGGCATGCGACCGCCCCGTGATGGCTCCGCGCCGGCGCGTATAATGTGTGCAGAATGCGGGACGAGCTGGTTCAGAGCCTCAATGGACTTCTCGGACCGGTACTCCTGCACAAAGCCCACGGTAACGACAATGGTGACTGCCATGGTTATGCTCAGCGCGTCTTCCAGGTTGCCCATTATGAAAGAAACCGCAGCAGACCCGAGCAGCAGCAGGATAAGCGTCTCCTTGAATTGCTTAAGGAAGCGGAGCCAGAGCGGCTCAGGGTCTTCGTGGGGGAGTTCGTTAAGGCCATGAGTGTGTATGCGCGCCGAGGCGTCCGAGGCCGACAGACCATGTGTGGGCGAGGATGCGAGCTTCTGGGCCGTCTCTTGGGCAGACAAGAGCGAGTATGTCGCCGTTATTGACTATGCGGGTACGTGTCAGCAGCACATCAGATCGGCGTGCGGTTCGGCATGCCATCACAGGCGCATGACGTACCGAGGGCGTCGCGCTGCGCCGATGCGGCTCTGGAGGCTGCAGCATTGGCGACGAGGGGCGCGAGGACTTGGAGGGGGCATTGGAGGCATTGAACAAGGGCAGCGAGGGAGTCGACGCTTTTGTCATATTGGCATGGCCAGGAGGCGACTGTTGCGCCGCGGTCCAACGTGGCCTGTCGGTCGACCAGTACTGAGCGTGGCGAGAAGGGCTGGGGTGCGCGGCTATCGCATTGAGGCTGGTAGTAATGAGAGCACGCTGAAAGGCTGGCAGAGAGGAACAGGCGCGTGTGGCGGCGGCTGTGGTGGGCGGCGGTCTTTGGGGGGGGGGGGTCGAGGGACTTTTGGTGTATATGCTGGACCAAAACGTCAAAGCATGGGTGCTTAGGCAGGCGCGGGCAGGGGTCGAGGCTCCCGTCGCCTAAGTCGTAGCTAAGGCGCGGCGCCGGGTTTCACACCACATGCTGTTTGAGCCAGCAGCGCCAGAATAGCTGCAAGGCGACATTGTCTGGAGCTGAAACAGAGACGCTGCAATCGCGCGAGAAGGCAACATGCCCAACTGATAAGACGCCCCATGTGCATGTGCGGTGCCGGGCACCACTGCGCATGGCACGGCACATGGGCCTTGGCAGGCACAGGCTCGGGACTTTCCTAGGCTGGCCTCTTGCCCGGTGATGTCATGCCTCAGCCTCAGATATCGCTGCTGTGGCTGAGACGGGCCGGATGGCACAGTGAAGAGCATCTCAGTCGCCATCAGTGCCGGCGGGTGCTATTCATAACATGTCCTGTAGCAGGGGTATTCCATTCCAAGCGCCCCCGGACCCACTAGTCATGTGCATGGCTATCGCTACCACCCCGGTTCACTGCCATCTCCATCGCCCATCCAGCAACACCAAAACGAGGGACTGCCAGCTCGTCACAGCACCCTCGCCGCATACTACTCTGTAATCTGAACACCACCCGGGAGTTGGTCGAGCCCTATGTACGCCCATGTTAGTCTCCGCCTCGGCTAGTCGCAAAGCCAAACCTACACGTCTCCGCCCCAGTGTCCTCGACCGCCTGTGTGCCTTGGTACACGCAATCGCGTCCTTCCCGGCTTGAATGGTCAACGTGGATGTGCAGTCCTCGCTTCCACATCTGTTGCCAAGAGCATCCATCCCCTTCTGGAGCGCGTCGCCTTCCCAGCCGAATAAGTAGTCGCCATGCGCACCATACCCGGTCCTGTACATGTTAACATAAACCCCGTCGCCCAGTATCAGGTCCTCGACTTACGCATCGCCAAAGCTATACACCAGCGGCTGCTTGCCGTCTCGGTAATATATCGGGTCTGAAAATCCAGAAGTGTCGAACATGATCTCATACATTACCTGCGGAATCCTGACCGGGTGGCTACTTGGACACTGGTCACCAGCGAGACCACCGAGCAAGGCTGAATTTGGCGCGTACGCCACATGCGATCTATGGTCTGGTGAATCAAGATTCACACCATCCCAACACGAGGGAAAGATCACGGTAGCACGAATACCCCCTGGACACGGCGTCGATGGAAAGCTGGCAGTGTCGTTGGCCGAACAGGGCGCTCCGTCTCCTCCCATGACGCGCTCGCTTTCCTGGAGGCATCGATGGCAGATTCCCGGATACGTCCCGTTTTTGCTGCGATTGTTGGGGTCACCGGCGAGCATGCGGAAACCCTGCACTAGTGAGAAACTATGACAAGAGGTATCATGAATCAGACGCACCGGGCTCATGGCTGTAGTTTTCGTATTGTTACCGAGGAATGGGCGCATGTAGTATATGGTGAGGCCGCCATCCTGCTCAAGTAGGGTTCTGTTTCGGCGACCATTGGCCATCTGCGGTACTTTGCGGTATGTACCATTCTCAGGCGACTTGAAGTAAATGGAAGCGGTCCAGTAGTTTGACCTGTCTTCTCTGTAGCCGTGTAAGGGAGCAGAACATGTTATGAAATGGCAATACTAACTTATAAATGCAGGAGGTACATGATGATCTTGCAGGTGGGTCAAAGGTCGAGGGGTCCATCTGACTCCGTCAACTACTACAGGCGTCAGAGAGGAGCCGATAATGTCTTACCGTCACGTTGAAGCTGTTGCCTCCTACAATCTGCACATGTCAGTCGTGTGTCGGTAGTAAAAACTCATACTTACTTGATGCATATGTGGCGATGGGTTTAGTCCTGGAGTCACAAGCGGATCAGCACGCTCAATAACAAGCTGTGAACATCCAAACCGCAAAAATTCAGATGCCCCATATGGTGTTTCCTGGGTTGAAGCATGTTTTGCAAGGAGTGCAAAAATGGCAACAGAGTTCCAAAACATGGTCGGTCGGAAATCAAGTAAAGTTGTTCGATGGCAATCAGCTGGTGCTGTCAAGGTATATCAGTACCTCGCTGTCGCAGGTGATGCACTCCCCAATCTCCGCAAATATACAAATATGCTAATTTGCTGAGCATACTGTCAACGAGCCGAAAGTCTCCCGCCTGTTCGGGACCGTCGTGATATCAAGACCAATGAGGCGTGGCCGGGTCCATTGGTCAATATAAACTACATTGGTTGAGCAGTCGTACAACAACTGCCGAATCGCAGGATCGCCACACGCCATGCAGGAGACTTCTCGGCGTCTGCAAAAGTCTGTGTTTGAGAAGTTGAAGGTGCTCACTTTGAAGGCAGCTTCATCAGTCGCATGTATCCGCTTACCACCTAACCTTGGCATAAACTCGTAATACGGCGACCAGATGGTTCTGTCTTCGCAGTAATGACCTCAACTGATTATTCACAGGCACTTTGTATGAAAATCATTCTGTCTTGGTGCTCAGCTTGATTAAGACAAGGTTGCTAGATGGAAGGTAAAGGCATGTTCGGGTTTCTTGGGTGGAGTCATGACTAAGCGGGGACTTGCCGGATCGTACCTGCCACGCCCTGATCCCAGCCATTACCAGCCTCATCATCATCATTCCACCACCGAGCGCATCCGCAACACCATCGTCGCTCTACCCCGGCTACCCTTCATTGCCATTGCTACGTGCGCGCGCAGACTTGGCACAGATCTGCGAGGCCATCGGCGCGTCCCCACCGCCTGCGCATCCCAAAACCCGCGACGCGTCGCCGTAAACACGACGGCCCAAGGCGCAATTTCCTCAACACCCCGCCCACAAGCTCCTCTGCTTGCTCGCCGCCATGTTTCTGCCAGAGGACCTCCTGTTCAAGCAAGGCGCGCTCGCGCACGTCTGGCTCGCCTCAAACCAGCAGAAGAAGCTCACCAAAGCACAAGTCTTGCAGCACAAGATTCCCGAGAGTTGCGAGGTCATCATTCGACCAGAGGTGGCTGCTGGCGGCCCCCTCGCCCTGCGGTTGAACGCGCAGCTGCTTCTTGGTGAAGTGCGCATCTACCACAAGAAGGCCCATTACCTGCAGGATGACTGCAATGAAGCTTTGTGGAAGATCAAGATGGTAGGCTTGAGTTGGACCACTCCTTGTTGCCACGACTAACGCGTGTTGCAGGCCTTCCGTCCCGGAAACATTGATCTTCCCGCCCAAACTCATGTTGCCAACCCCACTAACTTGATACTGCCGGATCAAATCACCGATCTGGATTTGCTGGCTCCCATGCCAGACCCTTCATTCCTACTGTCGCAACCGCTCAGCGGCAGTCTTGACCTTGGAAATACCACCGTGCCTGACTGGGACAACAGCCAGTTTCTCTCTGGCAGCATTGAGCAGCCCCGCATGGAGCCAATGGAGCTTCCCGACGACGATCTGAACCTGGACATTGGAGAAGATGACGATTTAGAGCCGCCAGCGCCATTCGATGAAGGCACGAGTATCGAGATGGGACGTAACGCCCCATTGGAGCGCCGCCAATCCGAGGAGTTTACTGGGCTGGACAAGGGCCTTGTGATTGACGATGATGATCTTGGAATCGATCTTGGCGAAGACGCTCCTACAGAACTTGCTCCGGCTCCAGAACTACACCTCGATGATGATGTGGACATCACCATGGGCGGAATGACTGAAACAGTAGCTCCAGCAAGCTCGATAGCAGGTGATTTGCCTATGCGACAGCGTGAGGAGTCACCCCTCTCTGAACTCGGAGAGGAAGAGGCCACTCGTCTTGAGCAGGAAATAGCCGAACAGACTACCACCTTTGAGCCAGAGCCGGAAGAGGAAGAGGAGGAATCTATCCACCAAGCTCGGGCCAAGCGCAGGAGGGTTATTGGAGCGGACGCCGAAACGATGATCTCCAGCCACCAGTTGAGGGAGCAACAGAACAATCGTGAGAAGATTCTGAAGCCTGCGTCATTCCTGCCCCGCGACCCCCTTCTCATGGCTTTGCTCAACATGCAAAAGTCGGGAGGCTTTGTTTCCAGCATTCTTGGTGACGGTCGAAGCCAAGGCTGGGCCCCAGAGCTTCGCGGCATCCTTTCGTTGGAAGTGATATCTCGACCAAGCCAAAAGCGCAAGCGAGACGGTGCCAACAACGAAGTTGAAGCCGAAGATGATGAGGCCACAGCTGCTGAGCGAGAGAAGACGCCCCAACTACAACTGGAATTTGAGCAAGACGAGCCAACCCTAGAGGGCGGCGACATGGGCATTGGAGGTGACAACACCATGCTTGGAGGATCCGAGGACACTATCCAGCTGCCCGATGAGCCAGGCTTCCAACAAGCCGGCGAGGAGGAGGAAGACGTCTTTTCTCCTATCCCAGACAACTTTGACGACACAACCGCTCCTCTTGTCCATCCCGAAGAGGCTGGACCCGTATCACTAGGCACAAAGCACGCCGTTCACTTCTTGCGAGAGCAATTCGGCCCTGAAGCCGAGGAGAGCGAATCCGAACGACAAAAGCGCAGCATCGTCTTCCAGAACATCTTCCCAGAAGCCAGAACATCACGCACTGACGCAACCAAGATGTTCTTTGAGATGTTGGTGCTGGCAACCAAGGACGCCATCAAAGTTGAGCAGCCAGCCAACGAGCTTGGTGCCCCGCTACGCATTCGTGCCAAGCGCGGTCTTTGGGGACAGTGGGCTGAGACGGGAGCGAGCGGTGAATTGGCTTCTCAGACCCAAGCTGCACCTACGGGAGATGTTGACGCGCCTTCCGAGGCCATCCTCCAAGGACCACCCGAAGTTGGTGTTTCTGCTTAAGAAAAGTAAAAAAGTTAGACTTTTGGGATGCCTAGGGTCAAGGGGCTTGTTCTCATCTGGCAGGCGTTGGCTGGATACCCTTTATTGCTGTACGATTTTCTCTTCTGGTACTTGGGACGTTGAAACACGGCTGTTTTGGTATGGTGACATTGGCGTTGATGTTTGGAATGGAGCTTTTGCGTTATAGGGTGGGTTTTGGGTTATTATTTTGTATTATGCGTAACGTGTTTCACCAGTGTGCGCCCCACCCCAGTGTGCGCCCCATCAAATCCTACTAACTCACTTTCACATTAGTATTACGCAACACCACCACAATTATTCTAATTAAGTAGAATAGAATCTTATTCTATAGACTCTTCACTATCATCTTCATCCTCTAATTCTACTTGGCAGGTGCGAGAGTTGTGTCTAATTTGGCTACAACGTCCACAGCGCCGTTCACTACGCACCCTCTTCGCAGGTGTTACACCATCATTACAGCCACCACCCTCTACCTTAGTGATCTGATTAGCTATCTGGCCAACTGTCTGTGACTCCTCTGCCTGTACGTAGCGCTGCTTACGAGTTTTTCGCTTTGTTGACGTTTCAATAGTCTCTCGTAGGCGACCTATTTCCTCCTGCATTAACACCATTTGATGAGCGATCTGCTGGGCTCCTTTACTCATTTGCCGCATCTGCTCCTTAAGAGATGCTGTAGGAGACCCTTGCTGGATTTGCATACGGTTTTTAACAAGCGTACTATGCGCCTCTATTTCGCGCGCGTTGCGCGGCGTTTTTGGCTCCTAGGTAGTAGTCTCTTGGACTGGTGGAGTTGGTGTACGCAGTACGACGTTAAGCTGTGATAAAACAGCGTGAGAATTGTGTGGCACAAGTCCTGCACCTCGAAAGCCTGCACGGATATTATCCGCTGTAATTGTCTTATTATAGGCCTCTTTGAACGTTGGTAGGAAGGTTTCTTTGCTAATATAGTGGATGCGATTGCGTGCCAAGACTGAGATAGCATCACCATACGCGCGCTTCAATGGCGAGAAGCAGCCCACATCAAGCGGCTGTAAGAGGTGCGACGAATGCGGAGGCATACAGAGGAGGATGATCTTCTTCTCTTCGCAGAGATCTCGGAATTCCACTGAGCAGTGGCTCTCATGGCCGTCAATAAGGAGCAGCCTATGGGTCCCTACAGGACGCGCATGGGAATCGAAGTGATGGAGCCAGTCAAGCGCTAGCTTGTTGTTCGTCCAGCCGTTAGGACTAACTTGGATTACCCAGTCGCGTGGCAGATCCTCTGTGAACCAGGTGGAGATTAGAACCTTGCCTGCAAAGATGAGAAAGGCTGGGATACGCTTTCCTGTCGCGCCAACACCTTGTATCAGTGTAACCCACTCACGATTACCTGGCTGAATCTTCTTTGACCTTCCTGGTTTATCTAAGCCTGTGATAACTAACTGTGATAAAATCTTGCCTATAATAAAGCCTGTCTTATCAAAGTTGTAGATATCTTCGTCCACAATACCATACTTCGCCTTTGTATTCTGAACTAGCTCGAACCAGCCCTTAATAAGAGCTGGATCTTCGCAGGCAGCTCGCTGACGATTATATGGACGGCTCCGGCGCGTACGCAGCTTAGGATTGCGCTGGATAAACCTATCCACCCAGTTCTTGCCAACCTCTTCTCCACCACGCTCTCGAAGCAGTCTATTAGCCATATCTCGCACGTCGTCTCTCCCATAGGGTAGTCCTCGCTCAGCCTCAACTAGTATACGCCTAGTAATCACCTCCTCTTCTAGTTTTGTTAGGCGCTTAGTTGGTGGTTCGTAGTCGCGTCGACAGGGCTTTCTAGCGCGTCGCCGCTGTATTGTCCGTCTTGGCACGCTATAGATTAATTTAGCGCGTCTTAGACTTAAGTTATCGTGTTTTTAGAGATAAGAGATAGCAATAGTAATATCAGCTTTAGTATAGGTTTTTTGAGATTGGGGTTGTTAAGACATCACGCGTTGTTGTTACGAAGGTGAGGTGTTAGGATTTGATGGGGCGCACACTGGGGTGGGGCGTACACTGGTGAAACACGTTAGTAGGATAGTTTTATCGATTCTGGGAGACGCAATGCAGCTGTCATTACTTGGACAAAGTATGGGCTGTTTGACTGTGCGAGCACGAGTGACACTAGGGTGAATTCTCAAATTGGTGACATCACGCGCCAGGGTCGGAACTGATGCCCCACAGCGTTCCGAAGAAATTTTGGCTTCCCTCACCAGTCATCCTTATGCCCACGCGCCATCCCCGCATACCAAATGTCAATCCTACGAGACCCTTCTCCCATTTCGCTCCCATACGTTATCTGGCGCAAGCGCCTTGGTTCACCCCAAATACCAGGCTAAACTACATTACATTCTTCACGCGGGCAGTCTTGAAATTCGACAGCGCCACCACACGACAAACGCATAAGCCGCTCGTCGCAACCATGCCCGAGACGCAGATACAGCCAGTCGACCCCCAGAAGCTGGGCAAGATTGCATTCAGACAGTCGCAGGATCTGATCGACGACTGGGATATAGAATACGACGAGTCAGTGCAAGCCGGAGACCAGTTTGGAAATCTCAAAGCAGCGGCGCGGGATCTGGTGGATACGGACGTGCCAGTTGCATTTCCGACTGAGACGGTATACGGCTTGGGGGCGGATGCCACGAGAAGCGCGGCTGTGCGGGAGATTTTTGCTCGAAAGGGCCGGCCGGCTGACAATCCGCTGATTGTGCACATACACTCGTTACCGCAGTTGCGAGCGCTGTTGGCGGGAAAACTGGATGTTACGGGCGATGGAAAGATTGATGGCAGGGATGCTATACCGGAGATTTACAGGCCGTTGATTGAGCGGTTCTGGCCTGGCCCTCTTACCATTATCCTGCCGACTCCAGAGAATACGATTCTTGCGCCAGAAGTCACGGCCGGTCTGTCGACTTTCGGTGCTCGGATGCCGCGGTCTATCATCGCTTTGTCGCTATTGCGGCTGTGTGGACGCCCACTTGCTGCGCCCTCTGCAAACGCATCGACTCGTCCGTCTCCCACGGCTGCTGAACACGTGTACGACGACCTGAATGGCAAGATCAACCGGATAATAGACGGCGGCCCATGTGAAGTAGGTGTAGAAAGCACAGTGGTAGACGGGCTGTCCAGTCCCCCAGCAATCCTGCGACCAGGCGGCGTAACAGTAGAACAACTACGACAATGTCCCGGGTGGGAAAACGTAGTAGTAGGCTACAAGGACAAGCAAGCCGAAGACTCGAGCAAGCCACGAGCCCCAGGCATGAAGTACAGACACTACAGCCCCAAAGCCGCTGTTCTCCTGTTCGAAGCAGGCGCACAGCAGCCTGCACCCGAGGAACTGAAGAGCAAGAGCCGCATCGGCATCATCAGGACAAAGAGCTGGAAACCTATATTAGATCTCAACGGCGAGAAAGTAAAGACTACAGATTCAAATGGTTGGAAGGCGTGCTGTACACCGGAAACTCCAGCTTCTGTAGCTGCCGACGCTTCTTCGTTGCGCCAATCCAACCTCGTGCGGTCCGTCATGCAGCACCAAATCCCGCGCTCCGATCACTACATTGTCAAGCCCGAGGCGCTGCACGTGTGGGATATCAATCTGGGTGCAGACACCGAGGATATTGCGCGCGGCTTGTTCTCGGCACTGCGCGAGCTGGATAAGAAGGGTGTAGAGAGCATTTTCGTCGAGGGCATTGACGACAAGTCGGGCGATGATATTGCGGCGGCGGTGATGAATCGATTGAGGAAGGCGGCTGAGATTCGCATTTGAGCATCCACGTGAGAGTGAGGTGTGGTTGTGTTGAGATTGTTGATAGTGGATAGACTACTTTGAAGGATGGCGAGGAGTTGGGGTGAGGAATAGTCATGTGGATGCTGGGTCGTTGGCATATCATGGAAGTAGATACACATAGATAGATGGTAAGTGCCTGAAGCGTCAATGCACAAACAGCGACATGATTGAAGGAACCATACTACAGTGTGATGATTGATGCACAAAGCTTTTACCACCACACATGCCGCATCTCCTTATCCATACTTGTCAATATCGTATCTCAGGAAAAAAAAAGTGCATTCCTACCATGCATCCCGAAAAGACATACTTGCCGCTCATGCTTGTACTCGTAATCGGGACCGTGATAGCGACATGGCTGGGGAAGCTACAAGTATACTTTGCACCAAACGCCACACCCGGCGCCCACGGAGCCACGCCAAGTACCAAGCTGGCAACTACATACATACATACAACTACATGTCCATGTGCCACTGCAATTGTGACCGTCAGTTTTAGCACCAGCACCAGTATCACGCAAACAAAACTCGACAAGACAAGCTCTACCCCTTTCTCTTAGGGCATGCCAAAGCAGCACGGGGCATAGGTATGAGCACAGCTCTACCCCTGTCTTTGCTGCAATCCAGCATACAGTTTGTAGTAGTGTCGGCGTATTAATAGAAGCGTGTAATGCCGCTCTCCATGCGCCACAGACAAGGGTTCCAGGGCCGGAGAAGCTGGCGCATCGGCGGGATTCGGTCGGTGAAATGGCGAGTCTGGTGGAGACGGTGGTGGGTAGAGCACTGGCAATGGCAATGGCAATGGCAACGACCGAAGGAGCTGGGCAAGTGCTGGGATTCTGCTGCAGATGCTCTTGTGGAAAGAAATGGAGCCGTGCGCGAGTACGAATGTCTGGCGTGTGACGTCGAGGGAAAAGTCACGTGCTTGGCAAACCGGCGGTACGCATGGTGCGTGGACGGGTGTGTCAGTGTGGAGGATTTAGGCTGTGACATGGTGTGTGAGGGACAAGGAAGAATCCGAAAGGAAGGCCAGTACTGCGTACGATGAGACATGGTGTATTCATAGCCATACACGAACAAGTGCTTGAGAGGTGCCAAATGTAGCACAAACTCTTTCTTTGTTTGTCTGTTGGCGCTTGATGGGAGATGCTGCTAGTGTGGGTGCTTGTGGGTGCGGGCTCGATGACATGGTTTGATCTAGTTTCATCACGTTAGTCGTGGGTAGACCTAGCAGTGTCATGTAGAGGGAAATATGGTGCCAAGGGCGTCCTAGACGCGGCGTGTGCCTGCCAAGGGCCCAAGTGCAGCGCCAATGGCAAGCTCGGTATAGTAGAAGATGGATATAGTCGTTCTTGCGGCGCTTGGACGACAAGCTTTGGACGGGAGACGGGGCGGCGTTTCGCGAGTGTGCGGGATGGTGAGGTGAGAAGAAGCAGATGGGGCGGAGAAGGCGGTGGAGAAGGAGATGCGATGCCATGTTTGCAAACATGTTGTGTGCAGAGGGCTGTTTCGAGGAGTGCTAGGCAGGCAGAGTCGGGTGGTGGGCCAATCAGTGGGCGCAGCCAGGCAGGCGGGTCTGTGGCCAAGCATTGGGGCTTGGGAGGCGGCAAGTGGAGCCTATTACGTGGCGCATGGGTATCCCTGCTACCGCCGGCCGGCTCTTGGCGTGGAAATGAGTATGGACAAGGCTCAACCCTCGGCGCAATCACAGCTGGAATGAGCAGGAGTGGGAGTGGGAGTAGGAGTATTGCGGCGACGTGCAGCCGTGGGGCACAGCGCTGTCTTGTAGGTGTATCGATAGCACGCGACAGCCCCGAGGTGGTGTAACTGCAACTGGAGCGTGGCCCGGCTGATTGGCGAATGGGGGCGGCCCCCAAGAGAGAGGCCATGGGCGGGGGCGCTATCGACAAGGAAGACATGTGGGTGGTGAGGAGAAGAAGAGAAATGGAAAGAGAAAAAAAAACCAGAAAACTGGGGAGAAAGTTCTCGAGCGCGAACTTGGCCAGCAGGCGAGGATGCAACAACAGGGCTCTGGAGGTGCCATGACGTCGGGGTGTAATGGGGTGTAATGGGTGTAGAGTAATGGCAATGGATGGGGTTGCATGGCATGCCATTACACGGTGGCCTGTGCGGGGGCGTGGCGTGCAAGGGATGCTGGCAACGTCGCCCAAGCCGCTCATTTGCATTTGCATGCATTTCATTTCCAATGGTTCGTGTTCATTTTGGCGACTGTTCGTTTTGGCTGGCTGCAACGCCCGGCGACGGCGACGACGAGACTGCAGTGCAACAGGGACAGCGGGCCATGTACAAGTAAAAGCGACGCTGCCGTGACTCGTCAGCGCTGATGGTGCTGCGAGTCGGGCACGCCTAGTCTGCCGGCTTCCGCTTCTCGCGTCGCCTCGCGTCGCCCAAGCCCCCCCAGACTCGCTTCTCAACAAGCCGGCGGCATGCTTGTCGCTGGCCTCGTACACCTCCACGCACTGCGCCCTCGACCACGCCCGGAGATGAAGGCCAGCGTCTGGAAGAATCGATCAACCCGCACCGTCTCTGCGCGGCCCCCGCCCCTTGCCCCAAGGAGTGGCCCTATCACTACCACTACTGCTATCGCCCTGGCAATCGGCGCTTGACGAGATGCATGCAGGCAGTCGGATCCCACGCCCTCGCTGTCGCGCCGCTACAACTCGTACTCGTGCTGCTGCTGCTGCTATCATCCAGCCAGCTACGTCGCCCGCCGCAAACAGGCCTCGCCGCTCGCCGCCCCTTTCGCCGTCGCGGGCGTTCCTGCATGTGGCGGCTAGGTGAAACGCGCCAGGCGTCGTCGCTAGCCCGCAAACGCGAGCCACGACGACGGCCGCGAACGCTGCCTCGCCGCTGTGACTGGCCGGCCGCGCCGTATTTGCTGCTGCCCCTGGCGCATCCGCTTGTCCTGAAAAAGTCGCGTGCTGCACGAATCCACCCACCCATATCTGCCCACAATATATGAGGGCCCTGCAAGCCCGCGTCCCCATCTTTTTCCCTTCACCTCGCTCGCTCTCGCACACACTCCCCTCCCAGGTTGCTGCCCGTCTCTCTTTTGAGCATTTTTGCTCGGTACACTCTCTTGCCCCCCCTCAAGGCCCTTACGCTCATTGCTAGACGCCCCCCCCCCCGCCCCCATCCTTGTTCGCGCTCAGGTTAGCCGCATCTGCTCTTAACTGCTCAACGATACCCACAAGCAAGCATACGCGCATCGCCTCCCTCCAAAGCAAAAAACAACGATAACTCTGTACGAACATCGCCCGACATGTCTTCCTCAATCAAGATCACCAGCCTGTTGGCCCTGGCCTCGAGCGTGGCCGCCGTCCCTCACTTCCAGCACCAGAAGTTCCACCACCGTGCTGCCGCCTACCCGACTGGCGGCTGGGGTGGCGCCCACAACGCCTCCATGATTGCCACTCCTTCGGGAACCGCTGTCTACCCCGACGACAAGACGACTACCATTCGCACCACGTCCACCACCACGTCGACTGTCTACGAGACCATCCATGCCAAGCCC